ATGGAATAATGGCGTTTCCCATTAGAGATCCGTATCCGTATGATTTATACGTATGAGGCGGATAAGGTGTTGTGACTTTTACTACTACTGAGTACTGCTACATGTTTTGTGACTGCTACTAGAAGCAGTGAAGAGTTAATAATGGGTCAGGGAAAAAGCCAATTTACTGAAGAAGAATTACAGGATTATCAAGTATAAACATATACATTTTGTCCATAATGCCCTTTGTAAGTTAAATTTGTTTTGTTTTTCAGGATCTTACATACTTTACAAAAAAAGAAGTTTTATAGTAAGTAGTAGGTACATCATAGAGAATGAAAAGAATGTATGAAGTGGAATTTACTTTTCCGAGTACTCGCATATTAGTACTATGTTCTCACATACTAGTACACGTTTAGATTTACAAATTTTCATCTGAGTAGTCCCAGTCGAATCCGAGTACTTGTAAATCTAAATGCCGCTTAAAATCTGACTGCGAGATTACTATGTTCATCTGTTTTTTAATCAAAATACAATGTTTATGAAGAGAGGAATATGTTTCTGCTGGGTTGCCTATCAAAATATGGCAGCAAGTATTTTAATTAAAATTAAATTAATTTTTTCCAAACAATTTCGTTCACTTGTTTTTAAGATAAATTATAATTCATTTCACACAGAGATAAGTAAAGAACTTGATAAAAAGTTTTGGTTGCCATTGCTCACTTGGCCGTTACCTCTTGACAACCAGATATAACAGGTATTACTCTGTCTATCAGACAGACATAGTGTGCCAGCCAGAGCTGGGAGTATTTGGACAAAACAAATACCAAATAGTATTTTAAATATAAAATAGTATTTTTTATTTTGTAATTAAAATACTTTTATTATAACAGCAAAAATATTTTGTATTTCAAATCCTTTAGTAAAGTATTTTGTATTTTAAAAAAGTATTTAAAATCTTCTAAATGTAATTTAAATACTCTTGAGTAATTAAAATACTCGAAGTATTTAAAATACCCAAAATACCTACCAAAAACAAATACTCTTTGCCTGTTACGACTGACGACTGGTACAGCACGGGCTAAAAAAAATTACGCACCGTCACGCCTGGATTTAGCGCTTTCTACTCTGCATTCTGCAATTTTTTTTTAATTTTTTGATCTCGAAATTGGGCTTGCCTTACACATACAATATATTTTTTTAAGTCACATCTTAAGAGTTTCAGATTTAATATTTCACAAAAATATTTTAAATACCTACTGTTAAAGAATATTTTCAATATACAGGATGATTCCCAAACGGTGACCAAAAATGAAACCTCGTATTCTTTGGTGAATTTTAAGGGGAGTCTTTCGTATAAAGTTTTTATCTAGGACGCTTCGTTGACAGGGTGATAATCTTAAAAAAATATTTTTCATTTCGTTTTTTAAGTTCTACTCGAAAATCAAGCTTTTTCAAAAAACAAAAAGAGAATAGTAGTTTGTAGAAAATTTACGAATCCGAAAATATCATGATTGTTACTGTGTAGCACTGCAGTGGCGTACTATTTCATTTAGATTAATATGCCACCGATAACCTGTATCTCCGCCACTGGAACATCTAAATTTTAGGAAAAGGCCTCAGATTTTAGACACTGTTTACATAAATACATGTGCCCGATTTCAAATTATTTCACTAGTTTTTAAAATTATTTAAAAAAATTAAAGCATTTTTTTAAGTTTAACACCCTGTATCTTGTTAACAAAGCGTGCTAGATAAAAACTTCACACGAAAGACCCCTTAAAATTCACCGAAGAATATGAGGTTCATTTCATTTTTGGTCACCGTTTGTGAATCACCCTGTATTTAATATTCAACATACTTAGGCCCGGTACTTTGAGTCTCGGTTAAAGATTGATTAACTGATCAGGCGATTAGACTGTACATATAATGATATAAGTATAATCACAGTCTCATCGCCTGAGTAGTTAATCGAGCCTTAACCGAGACTCAAAGTACCGGGCCTTAAAATACTATTTTAAATACTAAGTAATTTGTATTTAAAATACTTTGCCAAATAAATATTTTGTTTTTAAGTATTTTAAAATACTTTCATACTAGTATTTTGTCATTTGTATTTTAAATACATTTTCAAAGTATTTTGCCCAGCTCTGGTGCCAGCTGTATGTCTTTTGCATAAATAACCTGGTTTTTATTTTTAATAAACACTAAGTTTTTGTTCTAATTTTATAAAAATAAAGACGGCACGATATTTGACTAAAAAATAAATTTTTTGTTCTTATATAATTTTGAATACAACTAAAAGAAAATAATTTTTTTTTGGAGTATTTTTAAGTCATTCCTTGCATGCGCAATAAACGACACAGCTGACACCTGTGTCCTTGTCTGATAACCGGTGTGGTGGGCTAACTTTATTTCGCTCTTATCTATTTTTAACAGTTAGCACCCCCTATTTGCGGCCACTTTTACATAGGCAACCGTATTTCATCACGTACAGAAAAAAATTAGTTTTAATTTGATATATAATTTATGAGGATATGTTATGAACTTAATTTAAAAGAGTAGTACCTGCTTACACCTGGTTGCCAAGAGGTAGCGACCAAGTGAGCAATGGCAACCCAAACTTTTTAAGTTCTTTACATATCTCTGTGTGAAACGAGTTATAATTTATCTTAAAAACAAGTGAACAAAATTGTTACGAAAAAAATAATTAATTTTAAGTAAAAATTCTTACAGCCGTATTTTGATAGGCAACCCAGCAGAAACATATTACTCTCTTCATAATTATCTATAAACATTGGATAATGGTTGAATGATGTCCGGGCTGGTTGCCACATCGTCGATTTACAACTCTTGATGTTTCGAAAGACATATCGCTCTCTTCTTCAGAAGTTACTCTGAAACTGAGTTGAGTTTCAGAGAAACTCCTGAAGAAGAGGGCGATATGTCTCTGGAAACGTCAAGAGTTGTAAATCGACGATGTGGCAACCAGCCCGGAAATCATTCAACCATTAATGACTGCCGCGGAAGCCTACAAACAAAACTATATAAATATTGTATTCTGATTTAAAAGAACAGATGAACGTAGTAATCTTGCAGTCGTATCTCTTACTACTATGAATGAAGAATGAACATACCTTCAACATCTAATTTGAAATACAATCCACATAAAATTTGAAAACCATAAATTATTATTGTTATTCACATAACATCGTACCCCTCTTCTTTTTTGCTGTGATAACTGGAGAGAAATGGTGATTAACAGTTAGGAAATTGTCTTGCTGTTTCAAAACAATACTCGAAAGAAGAGAAGGTAGAATTTGGAGTATAAATCAAATCTGTATTTCGTAATTGGTTTTTAAGACCAGCAGAAAATGCTATCTATCACTGTAAGCAATGAACATGAATGAATGACATTTCATTGCTGATAGTGTAAGCTGCAAACCTTAAATAAATACTATGTATAATTTTACATATTCTAATCTAGTATGTTTAAGATTTAGAAACTTTCCATAATTAAAAGTTGCATATTAGATCGATTTTTTTAGTGCACATCAGAAATTTAAGGCCTTAGCCCCAGAAAAAGTTGGACATAACAAAAATGCCAAATTACCCATAGCCAAAGTATTACAATATCCAGAACTAAGTGTTAATCCCTTTGGAGAACGTATTTGTAAAATTTTTAGCTCCAGTCAAGATGGAGATTGTACATTTGAAGATTTTCTTGATATGATGTCAGTATTTAGTCAGTCGGCTCCAAAATCCGTTAAAGCAGAACACGCATTTAGAATATTTGGTAAAATATATTTATAAAAAAATTGCATATTTGGAACACTATTTCATAGAACTGAGAAGATAATTGTTTCCTTTTTTTTCTATCACAGTAAGAAAGAATATACAGTATACAAGGTTTGATAAAAAAGTAACAAAAATTTTCAAATTGAGCATGCTATATCTTGTATGATTGATACCATGCTTATTTTGTGTTTAATCAGCGAATGAGTAAAACTTACTTAAGTGTTTTTAGTGACAAAATATCGAATCAGAGGTTTGTCTGAAATTTTGTGTTGAAAATGGAATTAGTGTAGCAAACCATTCAAAATGATAAATTAAGGCCATTGGCGATGATATTACGTCACGGTCATGGATTTATCAATGGTACAAACGTTTTCAGGAAAGGCAAGAAGAGATCCAAGATGACGCGAGGTGTGGACGCCCTAACATCCATCAAGAATCACCATCAGAGAGTTTTGAACATAAAACAAGTGGCAGCAAATTTTGTTCAGAAACTGCTGAATTTTAAACAAAAACAGAATTGCATAACCATCACTGAACAAATGCTTACTGATGTCGCTTATTAGCTCAAATGCTAATAATAAATAAAATAACTGATGGCAAAATATGGGTATATGGCTACGACATTAAAACAAAAACCCAATTGTCTCATTAGAAGAGCCCAGACTGAAAAGCACGTCAAGTCCGGTCAAGTTTAAAGGTCCTTTTAGCCGTTTTCCTCGATTACAATTGAATAGTTCTTCACAAATTTGTATCGCCATGTCGCACTGTTAACAAGGAGTAATACCTACCAGTTTTGCACAATTTGCTTGAGGCAATTGGAAGAAACTTACCGGAACTCTGATGAGACAACTCATGGATTTTACATTACAACATTGCACTGGCTCATACCACTTTGCTTATTCAACAATTCTGGGTGAAATACAACACCGTTGTGATGTCTGTAACTTATTTCTGTTTCCTAAAAACAAAAGGATACACAAAGACGTTTTTCAATAATAGATCAGATAAAGTCACAATCGCAAACCGAGCTGAAGACGATACCTAAAGGGGCATTCCACCATGCTTCATAAATTGGAAACTAAGTTGGCCTAATATCACAAGGGGGCTATTTTGAATGGCATCAGATAAAAATTGAAGATGAAATAAATATGTTCTGAGAAAATTAATAATTCTTGTTACTTTTTAATCAAACCTTGTGTTTGCAAAGATAGTTGCAATAATGATTATGTGAAACTGAAAAAGGGTTCCATGTTAAAATAATATTGTCTACATTTTTATTTGACAAAAGTCTTGTAAATGTAAATAAATTTTAGATTCTAGTTTTCAGGTTTTATGTGATATTCTGTTTATTAGTTAATTATTATTTTTTTAATTAACCTGTGTTATTTTAAACTTTATAATTTTAAATAATCAAGTAAAAATCTCGCGACCTATTGTACTAAATCTTCAACAGAACTGCAGAACCTGAAAACCATAATCTATCAAAATTCAAAAATATATCATATATTCATACATAATTATAGATTTTGATGGAGATGACATGTTAGGTGTAACTGATTTGAAGCAGGTAATTAACAAATTAACTGGTGATAATAGACTTAGTGATTCTGAAATGAATTGGTCAATACAAAATATTTTGGAGGAAGCAGATTTAGATGATGACGGTGCATTGTCTTTTGCAGAATTCGAACATATTATTGACAGGTCTTCAGATTTTTTAAGGTAATTTTGGAAATCTTGAAATATATCTATTTTAGAAATTATTTTATTTTTCTTTCAGTACTTTTAGAATTCGTTTATGAAAGGGCATTGCTTATCCTCTTCAATACCTTAAGTTGCCAAAGTCGGTGTAGCAATAAAATCAATTTCACACCTTAAATTTATGATAGTAAATTCCTTTACACACGAAATTGTGATTTTAGTTGTGTTGATATGATAATGAATTACCCTGTATTTCCCATGAATCATTTGCTGTTTCTATTCATTTTCCACTGTAATAATATGTATATTCCATGACAGTATATTTATTTAACTTTACACCTTTTTTAATAAGTTTTTATATTTTTGTATTCAAAAAAACTATAAACTGTTTAACAAAAAAAAACAAAGCTAGTAATAAACAGTAATTTTTTCTATTGCTTTATTTACTTTAACATCTTTGATAATTACTTGTATTCTTTCCTTTTATTCTAAGTATATACTCATAAAAAAAGACTGAATCAACGTGTTGACGAATCTACAGCCAAAACATAAAAAAGGTTATTTGTCTATTTTAAGGGACCCCATTAAGTATGATAGTATGACTGTACACTCAAGAATAAAAGCTCTGTTCCTAGTACAAAATATACAAGGTTACCACATTTTACTCTGCTTGCATTTTATTTTGTTGAGTTATAAGAAAACAGTTGTAGAAAATACATTAACATTATTGTTGCATTTTATAATAAAAGAATTACGCAATCAAAATGCAGTTTCATTAATAATGACGATTACAATTTTAAATACATCAATTTAAAATAGTGAATAGTTTGAGAACTGCTAGAGTCCAGAACTACCTCCATCAACACATATACGAGCTTGTCGAATTAAAGAATAACTAATATCCTGTGGAGCAGTTTGGCAATATACAAAGTCCTTTTAAAAATTGTTCAAAATGTCAGTTCAAATATTAATGAACAACACTGTTAAAAATTAATATGACGTAAAGTATGGGAATTTCCAATAAAACAAGTGCATATTATTAAAATTAAAAACTCCTTTAAAGGTAAAAATAGCTTGATCTCAGATTAAAATTGTAACAGAAAAGTCTTTGTCATTATTGATATTTGTTAGTAAAAGTGGGATGATCGGAGCATCAACTACATGAACAAGGAACATATATGACTGTTCTTCTCTCAATGTGCACTATACAACTTGATTGGCAATGAAAGACTAACCATTAATCATAACACTTGATTATTATAGTTTTACTGATTAAACTAATATCGAAACCCGAGAGATTTGGATGCACAATTATCAGTTAAAAAACAACTAATTTTAAAGCGAGCAGTCGAAACAAAAAAACAAAATTTCTTTCTGCCAGTTCTAGACAACACTTAATAAGGTAAATTTTTAGCAACTGGTTTTTATCAAGACCTCAAATCCATTAAAAATCAATCGCCAAGTTCATAAACATCCTGTAAATTAGAAAATGTTTTATTTATTTTGATATTAAATATTCAGTAAAAAGAGTAAATTCGTAATACAAATCAAACTGAAATATTCATAATTTTACTGCAGTAAAATACAAACAAAAAATGCATTAAAGCATTTACTTATCTAAACTGTTTTAAGATTGCAGATAACCTGGTAACTTCATTCTCATAAATATCCAAGTTGTAAAAAACGAAACAAGGACACATATAAATCCCACAGCAGTTATAAGCAACCTGTTAAGTCTTGGAGTTGTTGTAGTATGAATTTGGTCTAAAATTATAAAGCCTAATCCTCCCATTGAAAACAAGAAACTTGAAGCCAGTCCTTCCATGATATATTGTCCGTTCACTCTATATGGCATAAATGCTACCTAAAATGAAATAATGAGAGTATTATTATTAAATCAAAAACAAACATTTTTAAGGGCATTTTTTTTAACCAAGCTGGCATGACCTGACACTGTGTGTACTACATGACTACATTATTTATTAGCCTTTGCAAAAATATGTATATTATAATTATTGTTTTATTGTAGCACACTTGTGTTGTGCTGCTTATTATATATAAATGTATCTTTCATAAAAATAATTACTCTTACCGGTCTTGAATGACCATGTTCATCCGTTGTAGAACCCACACTGGGAGGCTCGACAATAACATCATAAATGATACCTGAAAAAGCACAATTATTCAGAAATTTATAAATAGTTTGGTAGTGAAGATAACTTTAATCATATAATTTAAAAATCATACCGAGTGTAACTAAATGCTTGATATCACAATTTAACAAAATGCTTCATTTGGATTAACATGTTATTTACAGTTTTCCTCTACTGCTTTTTGGAACCCTTATTTGTTTTCTTTAATTTCAAAACCCCGTATCTCAAAAATAAAGTGTTTCTGAACAGACAAGTACTTCTATGAATTTTCTTTACAATTCAGCCATAAAATTTACAAGCAGTTTTATTACACCCTGTACACTCAAAAAGCAGACTTGTTGCACATACTAAGAAAAAAATATATTTATTAGTTTCTCTAATAACCTCTAGTATAATAAACAAACATATTCATTAATTTTATAACTGCGAACTACCAAAATTCAATTCTAATAAATTCAAAGTAACCCTGAAAAGAATGTGTTGTTTTTCTTTCTCATCGTCTATTTCAGTTGATTCAGATTTTGGTAATTTTAATCTACAAATCTGTACATTTATTTAATTATAAAGTGTAGCACCTCCAGTTACAAGAAAATATGAAGCAAGCACAATCGAAAACATAGCCATAGCAGATGGTTGTTTTAACCAAGAAGGTCTTTTTATCTTCATATGAGGCACTTCTAGTACTATAAATGGTAGGGTAAAAAACGATTCCATTGTATGTATTTCTTTATACAAACTACTTTTAAACAACAGATATTTAAGGTTTGAACAAAACTTTTAATAAGAGTAGTTTCATTTATAATTTCCAAATCAGAAACTTCAGTCTTCAGTATAATCTAAGATTCTAACCTACAAATCATTGACCATAGATAGGGATAGGGTCGATAGGGAGTTTCACTGTCCTAGTCTCCAGAGACCATGACACATGGAGCCCGAGCGCCATTATCCCATTGCTAGAAATTGGCCTCAATGATTTAGGATCGCCGCGCCATTATTCTATGGCTAGAAATTGGCCTCAATGATTTGGGATCGAGGGGGATTATCCCTCTTTATCCTGCCTCATCTCGTGTAGGCCTGGACAGCCTTCGTAGGTGGGCCCCATCCGTCGTCTACCCCGACCGCAAATGCGGCCGGTGTAGGCGCTTTGTGGGACCTCCTTTTGTCCTGGCTGGGCCCCGCCGGCTAGGGCCCTTTCTTCTGGCGCTCTTCTTGCTTCGCCGGCTCGTCTGTGTAAACCCCGGGGGTAGTGTCATGTTTATGTGTGGTATGGTTGGGTAGGGTAGTGCGGCTATGCAGCCTGGGATGCGCTTTGCTAA